CTTCATTAGTATGATCAATATTAACAGTTTCTAGTTGAAGAAGAAACTCTACTGCTTCATTATTACCAGCTGTGACTGCCTCAAGGAGAGCTAGTTCAAAGGAGAAGTTCATATTCTCATCTTCTTGAAGGACAGGATGATCATTAATGTATAAACTAAATACACCAATGAGACGCATAAACTGCAGTTTTGTTTGAAGGTGTTCCTTTAACATGTCAGCAGTGCAATCTTGAACATGATAAATGATAGTGACAGACCCAGGAATAATATCAATATAATCAATTAATGATTGGCTTGATTTGATTGGTAGCAACTTCCTAATAAAACTATGCAGGATTTCTTTTTTGACATCAAGCCATTTATTTTGTAACTTAACAAAAATCTTGGGCATGTTTTTAAAATCTGTTGCTAAATGTGGACAATATTTTTTTTCCAGATCCTCTTTCAGTTGTTGTACTGTGATTGATTGACAAAATTCTTTAGCTCTTTCATGATGAGATTCAAGCTTTGAAACTTCTTTAGCATTTGGTATAAATTGCTGACACATGTTAACTAATAATGCACAGTCAGTACAGTCGAAAAGAGGGCGTATGGCTGTGAGTACATCACCTATAGTAGACACATTGTTTAGTGTAGCAATAGTATCAGCATGATATTTTAAGTCTTCTCTGTATCTTAGCCATGTTGTGATCTTTTTGAGTAATTTAGGATATTGTTGAATTTCATTATCAAAGGCTTCTTCTACGTCCATCATTACCAAAGAGAACTTATCATTCAACTGCTTTAATGAGTTACGAGTTTTTTCTTCATCATGAAGCCTGATATAATCATTCTGATCATCATGTTGAGTTTGGTCCTGATTACCTACATAATGTATCAGCTAATGAGTGTTTTTAAAATGTATCCGTAAATTTTTTTATTCCCTACAAGCATGTTAGTTCTAACAAGAGTAAATAATAGGTATTGTTTACTCTAACAAAAATTAATATCAAAGTAGTTTAGTTTGCAAAGCTTATACACATAGTTAACTACTTATACATAGTTCATCACCCTTACCATAATTAGCTTACCTTGTTGATCTTTCAAGCGCTGTAGGACAAACCTTGCACATGAGACAGCTCCAAACAGTTGCCACTTCTTGTCTTTTTCTTCTGTTCCCCAGTCGACTATAGCTTTTATTACGATCCATTCAAATCCTACACTCTCAGCAGCCTTATGAATACCTTTTGCTTCCATTTCTCCTCCAAGTGCTTTTTGGACATATTTTAGTTTCTCTTCCTTTGCTTCTTTGCTACGAAACAGTGTGAATTCAGAGGCCAGAGAACCTTGATGATGAACTTTAACTGCTTTACCTTCAATTTTAAAGACTTCGTCGTGTTTGAACATTTTAAAAAGATTCTTTCCACATTGGTACTCGGTAGGTAAAACGATTGTATCTTTTCCTTCAATACACTGATGTGCAGTGTCGACAATACTTTTGGCAACGATAATATCACCTAAGTTTGTTTTATCACTAAGTTCTTTTGTTTTGCTCTCCTTTGCTCCATAGCATATCCCAATAGCAATGACATACTTAGCCTCCACGTCTTTTTGTACTGAAACAAGAATATCTTCAGTCTCATTTGGCCCCTGGCCTGTCCTAGTTATTGCAACATTGCATGAATCGTACTTCCCCAGGATAAAATTTGCTGATCGATCTTTAGTGATAACTTTAATATATTGTCCATCATCTCCAGTAGGTTTAATTGAACCCATCACAGCACGGTATTCTATAGGTGTGGCGGTCACCAGAATGTAGTGAACTTTTTTTATGAACTCTTTCTCTTCTTCGGTCAGCTTTGAGAATCTTTTCATCAAAATTTGTTCCTCAATGTCCTCCAGTTTTGGGCAATATTCACTGACATCTGGAGGTGGATCTGATTCTATTGTTCATGTTAATTAGAAATTATCAAATTATTCTAACTTACTTTGATCATCACTTTCAGTGCCTGTTGCTATAGTAATTATATCATCATGAAGCTTGATATAATCACTCTGATCATCATGTTGAGTTTCGTCCTGATTACCTACATAGTGTTTCATGAGTTCATGAGTATTTTAATTATAGTACTTACTGAAAGAG